TGTTACTCGAATTCTACAGGCAGTGTTTGAGGACCGTTTGAAAGAACAGAGCATGGCAGTTCCCCTAATGGCCTGTGCTGCAGACATGCTTTATGCTCCATCCAGGCAACAAGTGGTGTTAGTCGGGGATAAAAGCTCCAGTGAGCTCAAGAAGATGGTTGCTGTAGTCTATGCTTCATATAATCCACTCAGAAGTGTAAGTTTATTTCTACTTATAGAACAGATTCGTATGTGGAAAATTTTTCTATTAGAATATCCTGATCAAAATGAATTTCAAAAAATTTCAATCTATTTAAAAAGACTGCAATATTATTCTGTTCAAATTAAAATTTTGATCATAATGTCCTGACAGAATTATTTTAAGTTATGATTTGAGGATCTTTTGGTAGTTATATTTTTCTGATGTCAACTTTAGGTGATTCAAATAGACCGTCAGAATGAAGAAGACATGGAGTTCTGGGAGAGCAATAATCAGAACATATTCCATATGGCAAAAGGTAGCCCAAATGACAAAGAAGCTGTTGCTTATGTATGCCAAAACTTCGTGTGCAATGCTCCAGTGGCAGAACCTGATGCACTTAGTTCGCTTTTAATGAGGAGAGTTAGCTAGTTTGAGATTTAAGCTTCATTTGCTGTTGATTAAAACAATTTTTTAGTAAAAAAATATTTTTTTTTACTAAAAAATTGCTTTAAGAAATTTGTCTCAAATAAAACCTTATTTCAAATTTGTTTGCTGTTTTGTGGCGATACAACACTTGCATATTATGTTTTTTTTTTTTTTTTTTTTTTTTTTTTTGTGATAAATGGGAGAATCTTAAGCATGCCTTCATAGACGGAAAGCATGCTGCGTAAATAATAGGTTAACATTCCCAGAAATTTTTTTATTTGCAGTTGTAAGGTTACAATTTTGAATGTTCGGTTCAGAAATTGTAGGCAGGAAAGTAATTGCAATTTGTAAAACCAACTTTTATTTAGAATTTTATTCTCCTATTCATGAAGATTAAAATTATTGGTTCAGAACTAGTGGAATAAAAGCTTTTGGATCGAAGGGCAGAGAATTATATAAAAAGGTTTTTTATGCCGCATATCCCATGGCCTATTTGTAGGATGAATTATTTTGTGCAGACACGGGATGAAGAAAATTGTTTGGATTGCTGCATTTTTATTGTCCTTTTGCTGTGATTTTGCACAAGAGCAATAAAAGTGCAGTAAATATTTAATATTTATTAAATAATTGAATATTTATTGATTTTTGTAAATGGACATCAAAAGTGCAATAAAAATACATTCATAATTGAATATTTTCTACAATTTTGCTATTCTTTCGCCAAAATGTAGCAAAATGATATTAAAAGCGCAACAAATTTGAACAGTTCTTTTCGTTCGGTGTCCATAAAGAATAATTTTTCTATTTGTATAGAGGTAAGCAGAATTATATAATAAATAAATGTCAC